TTGGGCAGCACACCCAGGGGTGGTAAAGGTAAATCAAGTTTTGTCACGTTAACCTACGGGACGTTCCTGCTGATTCTATAGCTTACTACGATCTTGTTGGGGTCCGGTTAACTTTTTCCAAAGTGATATATTGGTATGAGGGCGGACCTTTGTGCCCCCATATGGGCAAGACTACTTGGCTGCCCTTTCGTTTTCCTCTCTGTGTATTTTGCCTTGGGCACTGGGCTTCAATGCGAGCAACCATTGAGTCGTAATTGCTAAAAAAATAAATAAAAAAATTGTTGCATCGATGGTTAGGCGATGTCCCACATGTATTATCGGGGACACTTTACCTTGCTTATGTCTTAGTGAAATTGTGCCCTGTGAGGACCCCGACCTCGATTGTTTTTCTTTTTATTTAAAGTTATATTTTTTCTCTCAATTTCACCTCTCACTATTTAGCCACCACCAAGCTATACTTGCAGGAGTCCCCTTTATAACCTTAGGAGTAGTGGTAGGTAGGTAGTGAAAGACAAATACATTTCATGACATGGCAAAACGCTAAATATGTGAGGTGAAAGAAAAATATATGGCTGTTCGTGGGAACCATGTCCTACTTTCACCGTTTAGTTAAGGCAACTCAACGGTTCGACAATTAAAAATGCTCATTTTAATTCGTTTGAAAATAAGAAATACATTTATAAATAGCACCGATATACTTGTTTATTTTTCACAATTGGAGTGACATACAAATAATTCTACAACAAAAAATGAAGAGTTGTCAGAATCCCGTATGAAAATGACAAATGGAAGAAGGTTTCTACAATTTTTATCATAAAAATGAATTTTGAGGCAATAAGACGGTCGTTGAGATGACTGTCTCGAAAAAAAAAGACAGCTAACTCAACAAATAGTCACGAGGGTAGGGAGCGTATTATTCGAAAGAAAGGATTCATCTTTGTTTTCTGTTGGAAAAAAAAACAACGATTGTCTCTATTGCCCTTTTTATTAAAAACTGACTGTTATAACACTTTGACTATGTGCGTTTTCGTTGTCGCCTACATTCAAACAAGGTTGAAAACTAGCCATCGACCTCGCTCAATGGAGCTAGTGGGACATGGTTCCCGATGAAGAAAGAAAAGAAAAAACCCTATTTTTTAGTATTTTATGACAACATACTTCGCAGTCATATGAGGCTGACTTGTGTGGTTTGCATTTTCATCGTTTCGTGTGTTTTCCATTTTGGGTAAGGTCGTGCAGTACAACGTTGTTAGGACGGATCTGTTTGGGGTTTTCGAAAGGGAAAATTGGGTCGAGTCACAGTTGTCCCTAAGACCGGTTATAAGGCATGTTAGCTTGTCTAGGTCGTTCAAAATTTAGCATAGGGCGTCGTCCACAGTTTCTCATTTCATGATGAGTGACGTTTGTTTTTGTTTCAAAACAGAGGCGGACGATTTGGGTCTGAGACTTTTTTTTTTTTTTTTTTTTTTTTTTTAGTTTGAATTGCATCTCTCCTTAAATATCATAAACATTCACCTATTTACTGCTACAAAGTAATGAAAAACGAGAAGAGACTTCACTGCCTTGTTGGCAGGGCTTCTAAAAAAAAAAACCTATCGAGGTTTAGGGTCTTTCGTCACTACTCACCAAGTGTGCAAAGTGAGAATAAACAGTCTGGTAAAACATGGGTAGATACATCACAAGTAGTTCAGAGCTTGAAATGTCATTTTTTTTTTTTTTTTTGAAGAAGAAGAAAAACGTTTTTTGTTTTTAATGTGACTTCGCGTGAGAGGCGGAGAGTAATCTATGAGCCTCGTGCAAAACGATAGTTAATTTCCGCCTATAACATAAAACGATAACACGACCATGATTTTTGTTTTTTGTGCATTCAAAGAGCAGTGGAACAACGCCCTCTGTGCATTATCGGCCCCATCCTTTTCAAGGCATTCTTACGCAACTCTGTCCGAAATGCATCTGACTGTACCTCTGGCCAGGCGCGAGGTGGTACGATAAGGTCTCAATAACTTGCTATTCATTTTTTAACTTTTACTTCTTCTTTTTTTCCTAGGAAAGCAGAATTGCAGTTGTTTATCACGGGTTCCCCGTCGATCAACTGGTAAGGTTGGTAAGGGACGCAAGTGACATTCATGAGGTATCAGGTTTCATCCCTATTCGGCTCATGTACCTTCATGTGCAAGCTTGTCACCTGCCACCTAAAGGGAGCCCCTTGGTCCCCCTAAGTGGCATTGAGCGGTGACTGCTAATGTTTGTAGAGGGAGGGGACTGGAGGGAAGACACAACAACGGACCCATAGAAGAAGCTCGGTCTTGATGCTACCGGCTGACCCCTGACTGATATCGCATTCCTGCGAGTAGAGTGCACCCCCCTTGTTCCCTCGTTGGAGGCTTGAACATGGCCTGACTGCTACGGGGTTCCTTCCCATCACAATACTAAATGCTAAATAAAAAAGGTATGAAAGACCGTCATCTCCATATCATAAAAAGAAATAAAAGACTCTCCGCCAGAGGTGGAAAACACTAAAATGCCTTGAGTTTTTTTTTTTTTTTTCACTTCCTTTTCATGCGTGAAAACGACGACCTTCTTTGTATTCCCTTTGTTGGTCAGACGTCTATTGGTACCGCCCTCTTTTTCTCTTGTGTTGATACTTTTCACTTGTAGGCTCGACAAAAATTGCCTCGCAGGGCATTTTTAGACTTGACATCAACAACTGAGAAAGGTATTGGTGGTTTAGACCACCAGTGCACAGCCCCTGCCTTGCAGAAAAGTAAACTTGTTGCCAGAAGAGAAATTCGAGATTCGGGGCCGACTTTGTGAGACAACGAGTAAGTAGGTTTATGGGCCCATCGAAAATGGCCAATTGGACTAAGGCTTTCTTGCTTTTAATATCTGCCCGTGCATTTCCATATTCACATTCAGAGTTAACATCGTTGGCACCAGGATTAAAAAAA